TCTTGCTAATAATTTATAGTTACTTTCCTCCACCTTTGAACTCAGCGAGGAAACATGACATAGCTGAATTATCTTATTTCTCTGCTCCGTTGCTAATGGGCTACCTAGATCTTCTTCCCATTGAGCAACAAAGCGGGGATATCCCCCCATACAAAGGTCTATCAATGCCTTATAGAACCTAGAAATCATGTGTTTGTGTGCCTCAGTGCTAGATAACACTTGTTCGATTTGATTTAGCTCTGCTAATGTTCTTAATGGTAACGTAAGGGAATTAACAAAGTGCGCCAGTTGCCTATAGCACCAAAGGTCCCAACTATATGTTCCCCATTTCTCCCGCATTTCTTCCAGGGGCATAATTCTACCGTTCTTTATAATGTGGTTTAATTGGAGATCCTGTTCCCCAAACCATATAAGGAACCTCCTATCCTCCTTGCCGGGCGCAAAATATTTATGGTCCAATATACGTAGCAAAGGCGAGTTATTAGACCATTTATGTTGCTGACAAATTGAGTCCCAAATTTTAAAAGGTAGTTAACGTGAGGGGTGAGGTTTCTTACGAAAAAAATCTATATTTCTTCGGGATCCACAGTGCTGTTCTCAGTTTGGACTGGCAGAGGTGCTCCTCTAATATTGCCCATTTTTTATCCGATTCAGATGACATCCATTCCATAATACGCGCTAGGGACGCAGCCATATAATATTTATTAAAATCTGGTAAACTTAGACCCCCCTTCAATTTGGGGCGCACAAGTATCCTATGTGAGATCCTGGCATGACCAGAACCCCAAACAAACCTGTTAACCCCAGATTGCAGTGAGGTCAGGTATTTCTTGGGGATCGAAACCGGAATTGTCTGGAAAAGGAACACAAATTTAGGCAAGATATTCATTTTTACCAAATTTATCCTACCCAACCAAGAAGTCGTTAGAGGTTTCCATCTACGGAGCTCCTCTTTCAATCCATTCAGTAGAGGGACATAGTTAGCCTGATATAAATCAGCCAGTTGTGCCGTTAGGTAAATCCCTAAAAACTTCATTTTCTGTCTGCCAACTGAAGGAAAAAAGGGAACTCAGTTGAGCTACAGCTTCCCCAGGGGTGTTAATGTTCAGTATCTCTGACTTATTTATATTTATTTTAAAATTGGAGATCTGGACAAATATCTCCAATTCCTTTAACAAGTTTGGGATTGTTATGTGTGGCTGCTGAATATAAAAAAGTATGTCGTCCGCATATGCTGCTAACTTATGTTCATAATGTCCTACCTTCACTCCATGCATATTGGGATTTTCCCTAATTGAGATTAACAATGGTTCTAGAAACAAGTCAAAAAGGATACTTGAAAGGGTTGAGACAAAGAACCGTTAATCTTTATCTGTGCCCTTGGGTCATAATACAGTGCCTGGATTCTGGATATCATTCTTTGCCCCAGCCCAAAATGTTCCAAAGTACTGAACAAATAATTCCAATCCACTCTGTCGAAAGCTTTTTCGGCATCCTTGGAGAGCAACAATGAATAGTGCGTCCCTCTTCGTACAGAGTGGATTATAGAGATTGTACGCAGGACCCCGTCTCGAGTTTCCCCGTCCCCGTCAGGATAAAACCTGATTGGTCCGAATCTATGAATTGCGGGAGAAATTGCTGCAGTCTAAACGTCAATATCTTTGCATACAGCTTGTTGTCATTATTCAAAAGAGATATAGGTCTATAGCTGGCCGGGTTCGTAGGGTCCTTTCCCATTTTTGGGATCACTGTAATATGTGCCAACATAGTTTCCTGTGCTAGGTGTCCCCCTTGTGTGACTGAGTTGATGTATTCTAATAGGTGGGGCAGAAGTATGTTTTGGTATGTTCTATAATACGCAACTGTAAGCCCATCAGGGCCTGGGCTCTTACCTGTCGGCATTGAGCCCAGTGCCTTTTTTAATTCATCCAAGGTGATATCCCCCTCTAGGGTCGCACCTGCCTCCTCTTCAATTTTAGGGAATACCATCTTGTATAAATACTGCTATATCTTCCTCTTACAAAGGGCTAGATGTTCTTCCGTTTTCTCCCCTGACACATTATACAAGGACTGATAATAGGACCTAAAAGAGTCCGCAATCTCTGGCGTTGAGTGGACCATCTGGTCCTGCACCGTTTTGATTTTGGAGATAAATCCTGACACTTTCTTTTGACGTATAGCTCTTGCTAGTAGCTTGCTCGATTTGTTCCCCCACTCATAAAATTGTCTGGATACCAAAGTAAAATTATCTTTGGTCTGCTGAAACAATAGGTTCCACAGTTCCACCCTCAAAGTAAGTAGTTCCTCTAAATGTTGTGCTTGTAAAGAGCGCTTGTGCAGAGTTTCTAGCTTATTTATCTTGCTCAGGAGATCCGTTACTCTGCACAAATGTTCCCTCTTTTTTCTAGCCCCCTGGGCGATCAATCTGCCCCGGATGACTGTTTTATGGGCTTCCCATAATACTGCCGGTGAGGTAACAGATAGGATATTATCCCTAAAGAAATTTTCTAAATCCTGCTCAATCTCTCCCTGTACTCCCTGATCTCTAAGTAAAGCTTCGTTCAGCTTCCAACTAAATGGTCTTGGCAGGGGCAGTGCGGGCAGAATTGTCACTGTCACTAATGAATGGTCTGAGAGTGTCACTGGTGAAATATTTGCACTAGAGATTCTGGGTATGTCATGATGATCTACCCATATATAATCGATTCTGGAGTATGTATTATGTACTTTTGAGTAAAAGGAATAATCCCTTTCTGTTGGGTGAAGTAATCTCCAGCTATCTACTAATTGGGCTTTGTGTAGATTTCTTTTTATTTTGCTAAGTTGTTTAAAAGGCACAGTTGCATCACCTGATGATGAATCTTGTAATGGATCAATTGCTACATTGAAATCCCCTGCCAACATTAATGAACCCTCCTGAAAATCCAAAAGGGAGGTAATTAATTGTTCTAGAAATGTACCCTGATTTTGATTGGGGGCGTACACTGAGGCTAAGGTAACACATTTATTATCAATTAGCCCCTTAACGAAGAGGAATCTACCTTCTTTATCAGAGATAAAGTCCTTGAGCATAAAATGTATCCCTCTACTCAATCCAATAGTTACTCCCCGAGAAAGTTTACTATCCGAGTAACTATGAAACCATTGAGGAAAGTTATACGTATCCAAACCAATCTTAGAGTCCACTATTAGATGTGTCTCTTGTAGGAAGGCCACTTGGACCGATTCCCGTCTTAGTTCTCTGAGTATAGAATGTCGCTTCACTGGAGAGTTGAGCCCTTTCACATTATATGTCCCAAATTTTATAGATGCCATTGAATTGAGGCTAAGGAAACATATCCCTCCAATATATCGCTACCGGCCTGGGGGCATAGGGAAGGGAAAGAGGAACAGAGAAAAAAAGGAAAAGGGAGGGGAGGAGGGAGTGGGGCAGGGAATAAAAGTGGAGGAAAGGGGGTGGGGTGGAGGATGGCATAAAGTCTCCTCCCATGACATTCAAAACCCTTACACACAAAAACCAACTAAACATAGTCAACATACTAAACAAAAAAACATATATAGCGCCTTTTGCGCAGTTTTGTGCTGTAGTCACAAAGCACATCTAATCTCTGGGGGTAGTGGCAAGTCACCTGCGGACTTTATCTAGATCTTAAAAGCTCCCGTGGGCTGCGCCCCCTCCCTAAGAGGAGGGGGGAAAAACCAAGACACAAAAAAAACCCAAGAGAAAAACAAACAACTGTGCATACCTATATATGTTTATAAAAAAGAGAGATAAGATATATCTAATGTCACACAATAATCGGGTGATCGACCATGATATTATAATCCCTTATAGTTTTTAGCAGCAGTACTAAGTATTACGGAGGGAGTGGGAAACATGTCCTTCTAGCTACATTTAGACTAATTTATACAGGCTTATGTTTTTTTTCCCTCCCTCCACCTGATTCCATCCATACTCCTTCAGGGGTGAGAGCACCGGAATGTCCTCCTTCCAATCTGGTATATCTGGCTTCTGCACCTCTAGCATAGAGCAAAATCTATCCATATCTTGAGGGAACCTTAAAATTCCTGATTTCCCGTTCTTGCGGGCTATCAGACATGATGGGAACGCCCAGCGGTATGGAATAGAATTGGCGCGCAAGACCTCCAAAATAGGGGGCAAAATTCTTCTCCTTTGCAAAGTGTCTCGTGCCAAATCAGGGAAAATTTTTATAGGGTTCCCCTCATATATAATTGGTTCAGAGTTCCACAATCTTTTAATCAGTTCTTCCTTCTCTTTATAATAATGAAAGTGGCATATGATATCTCGTGATATGTCGGGGCTGTTAGCTCTCATATATGATATCCGATGGACTCGATCCAACACCAGGGTTGCTATGGGATCTTTCCCCAGTATCTTATTAAAGATAGTCTGTAATGTTGTTGCCAGCTCGCTATCCCCTTTAGATTCTGGGATCCCTCGGACTCGGACATTATTTCTACGCCCACGATTTTCTTGATCCTCTATACGGTACGCCATACCGCACAGGTTCGTTTGTAGAGCATTATTACTCTCCTGCAACTCCCTAATGGCCGTAGTGTGGTGGTCAAGACGGGCTTCTATGTCTTCCACTCTTATTAGCATGTGTGAGATATCTTCTCTGACTTTAGATAGCTCGCTTTTAATTGAGTTCTCCAATCTAGTAAACATCATTTCTACAGTCTTTTTGGTAGGCAAATCTTTCAATACCCCCATGGAAACATCACTTCCTCCTGTTTCACCCCCTCCAGATAGCTCCGAGCAGGATGACGCCTCCAGGGAGACAGTTTTATCTTCCTCACCTGGGGCTCCAGAGGTGTGAGTCTCTTTCTCCACATCCGATGCTTCCCCCCTCCTCGTTCGTCCTCCCTGTAGATGTCCAGATGAGTCCCCGCCGGCAGTAAGAAATCGCTTCATGGAGTTAGCATGTACTCCTCCTTGGGTCTTATTCCTCCTCATCTCCTCCGTTCTCCTCTGGCGCATGCGCACCTCCCGGGAAGCTCGTTCATCTCTCTCTGCCCTCAGTGTTCTATGTGTCCCACTGACTGGCGGTTCTCGCTATCTCCGCCGGTCCCGGGATTTCGTCTGTGCTGCGGCTTTCCCTTCACCTGCAGTCCTCTACGCCGGGGTTAGTATGCCGTCCCTCGGTTCCCTCACAGCCGCTCGTCAGGTAAGGAGCCCAGCCACAGCAGCTCGTTACACGCTACCGTCCGCCATCATGACGAGGCCACACCCCCAGAATTCCATTCCCCTAATGGATGCCAGATGTTTAAGGCTTTGGGAGGTGGGGGATATAATTTGCGGCGTATAAGGGGGAAAGGGAATGGGTCAAGCGTATCCATAGTGTAATGTTGGGGAGCTCACAGATCACTCGCACAGCTTTTCCATTAACGAAAAGTCTTTATTTCTCTTTCAAAAGGCAGACAGTAAAGGAAGTCCAACATAAATAGCTTGTCTCCAGCATATAACATATATGGGCTCTCCAATCCTTGAGGTGTCACACACACTCACAGTGTCCCAGTCCTGTAACAGTTTTAATAGCTTCTCTTGCATCACTGCTGCTCCGGCCTCAATCCCCAGGGCCCCTGTCTGTCACCTCCAGACAACCCCAGTAATGTGCTAACCCGCACGATAGGTATCACGAACCCGCAGCACTCTGCTGCACTGGCCTCCACTCTGACTCCTGGTTGGAGTTCTCCTGACTCACAGGTGGGGCCCTGAACATGAGCCAGCATTCTTCTCATAAGGGCTGTGCCCAGGTGCACAATCTTTCAGTGTTGGTTAACCCTAAAGCCTGGACCCAGGAATGGAGATTTCATCCCTCCCAATGCTCTTTGAAATCTCCCAGTTCCAGGAACCCGTGCCAAATCCGGAAAACCTGGGAAGAACTGCAAAGCCAGCTCTTTCCCAGTAAACGTTTGCACTTTCTGGAACTGCTCAGCCCCCCTGGCTGAGAGACCTGGGTGACTATATTGCCAAAAGACACCCTGGCATTGCCACGCACTGCCACAATAGGTATGAGAATCTGACCACTTGAAATTAAGAGTGTTTAAGCAAAACAAACAAATCACAACTCCCACTGTCACACTGACTCCCCGCCTCAAGAGTGTCCCATGTCCAGTTACTATGCATGACTCTGCTTCCATTCCAAGTTTCACAAAAATACCACACTCCACAGGATTTTCACCAGATATCAAATCTTTGTATTCAAAAGAGGAAAGATACACTGTCATTACATAATCCACCGGTTGCTACACATTAGAGACCTGCAACAAACTAGCCATTACATTTGAAAATGTATCTCCCACCTGACAGTGCCTGCATAGTTCCAATAGCAATGTCACTTGACAAAGCTGATTTCAGCAGCCAGGTACTGTTGGCAGAAGAATATGGCACATATGTCTGAAAAACTCAATGTGTCTTTTAGACAATATATGAATTGTATGTCTGGATGATTAGTTTTGTCATTTTGCATAACAGGGAAAATGAAGTACTGAAAGTTCAGCTGAAGAAATATGTTTGCGCAGTGCAGATGCTAAAAAAGGAGGGACAAAGTGACAGTAAGTACAATTTTACTTTGATTTTTTTTCTTTTTTTAGATCTTTATATGAGTGTTAACTGTATAATGTAAAAAATTGTCAAGATTGGTATAAATTACTATAGTAAGTGCACCTAAGGTATTTATTAATATTATAGATTTAGTTGCACTCAAGCCAAGATGTTTAGGGCACTCAAGCCAAGATGTTACTGGATAACAAGTAGAGTGATGCTTAAAGCTGAACTGCAGGCAGACAGTTTAATATTAGGAAGGAGCTCAAAGTCTGGTCCAAAAACAGGTTCAGACTGAGCTATCTTGTTCGGGCCTTCATCCGAAAGCCGAAAATGTGCTATGTTTTTTGAGTGCCAAACATAATTTTTAAGCTTCCTGCTGTCAATGGTTTCTAGTGAAATGGCAGGTGCCTGCCCCCTCTCTGTCCTTTGAATGGGGAGGGTGGCATCAGTGGTTGCAGTTACATGGCTGGGAATGTGGACAGGGGATGAGTCACAGGTTGCTAAGATGCTGACGGCTGCATAGCCAACAGCCTCTTTATTCTGTTACAACCACCGCTTTATGCATTTGCACATACTTTCCTGAGACTTATCTGTACGGTCAGTATGACAACCTACTGACTATTCACAGATAGTGTCCAACTCGATAAGAAGAGTAGAATCCAATGCAGTTTATTTGCCTTCTCAATACATAGGATGTGATTCTTTGTCATTCTTAGAGTGAAAAGACATTCCTATCTTTGCCATTAACAGGATAACAGAAACTCCCTTACCTCAGAGAGGGTGATGTAGAAAGAGGGATTACAAAGGATCACTGGGAAGTGTTAGCAGAAGACTATACCAATGTACAGAAAAGAGTAGGGGTGAAGTAGAAGCACAAATTGAAGTAGAAGGCTGTAACAATGCTAAACTTACACTTGTAGCTAGAAATACAGCATAACACAATGAAATGCAATGATATAGGTATGCAGTGTAACTGAAACAGCAGAAATAAGGTAAATGACACTGAATGTGGCAGCACACTCCCCGTCTGAAATCTTAAGATTTCACTATAATATATTTACTGTAGACATGAGTCCGTTAAGGATGAAATGTCTTTGTACCTGAAAGACAAAAGAAAGAGAAAAACATGCAAAACATGTAAACATGAACTTAAGTTCGTAAAGAACAAGTCTCAACTTGAACAAACTTGAAACCCATCTTCAAGTCAGAGAGGCCACAAAAATGTCAAACCTCGGCTGACTCAATTTGTAATCCACTGGAAATTAGGTATTTGCATTTGTCCTTGATGTCCTGAACTTGACATCCTGGAACATGAAGACATTAGGACGCCTGTCCACGAGCAGCAGAACCCATAAGGTCCTCCATGGGTGGCAGTAAGATAGTATTTCCAGTTGGTTGAAGATACTTCTTGAACAATTGTTTCGATTCTGCTTGCAAATTGTGAAGAAAAGGATGATCTTGTATGATTACAGGAGTATCTTGAGGTTGCAGCAGATTCTCTGTAGGCGACTCTGTAGCATCTACTGATGTCAATAGTGGTTTAGAGTAGCTGGTCACACAGTCCTTGAACTGAAGAACATGAGGATTGTTGTGCAGGGTCTCAGTGATAGTAGATTCCGGATCACCTGTTGAAGATTCAAACTTGTTGCTGTGGTTAGCATTTTGGAAGGTTGTCTTGCTTGGGGTATGACAAGACAGTTCTTGAGTGTAGTCATGACCTTGTTGTATGACGATTTTGTTGGCACGTACTTCATTTGAAAGTTGAGAAATGAGTCCTCGACTGCTTCCAATGATTACCCAACTTAGGTCTGTCTTTTGGGCATAAGGAGCATCATTCCAACCATTGTACTGTTCACATACCTTGTGTACTCTTAAATGTTTCTGCCTAGCAAAAGCATGATTTTAGCAAACAGGATCAAGAGGTGGGATGCAGTTGGCTAAGTGACGTAGGTGTGGTCGAGAAAGAGCATCCTCTGGTGTAGGTATTTCCTCTTTGTCATTAGGTATTTGATTGCACTTTATGAGCATAGGGAGATCAATTATTTCAGTCCCTTCTATAGGAGAAATGAGGAATTCAGCATAGGTTGTTCTTCCTGTGAGTTACACTGAACCAGCGCAAGTGTGTAGGATAACACATTTCTCTTTATGCCGAACAAGTCGAGGAATTCTCATGTAGCAAGTGAATGACTGCTTTGATCATCTAGGACAGCATACATTTTGACTGCTTTTTCAGGTTGTCCTTGACCAAACACCTTGACAAGACATATTTTTGCTGGAGTTTTACCCCAAAGTCCTTTGTAAGATAAGTCACTACATTTTGATGTAATATTTGCAGGTGATTGTTCATGGCTCTCCCCGCCATGACTTGATGCAGCTGAAGGAGGATCTGTAGGAAATGATTTGTACTTAAGTGGATGAAGTGCTTGAACATGAGTATCACTCCCACACTCCATGCAATTGATTATGGCATTGCAGTCCTTTGCCAGATGTTCTGTAGAAGCACAACATTTGAAACAAACCCCAAATTGTTTTAGGAGTTCCATGCGTTCCTGTAGGTGTTTTTCCCGAAATCCAAAACATTTTGTGAGAGGATGTGTTTTCTTATGTATTGGACATATACGATTGGGATCTTCTATCTTTTCGATCTTGTTACCTTTGTCACAGCTTGTGTCAGAGTTAAATGACACATTTGACCTTTTGAAGCTTGAGTCAGAGTTTGGTAGTGCACCTGTCTTCTTTACAGATATAGGAATCCAACAGTCTCTGAATTGGAGCTTGAGTGTTAGGCTCACTGAACATGAAGCTGGGATTATTTTTAGTCTCTGCAATGACCCTGATTAATTCACAGAAATAAGAGAAAGGTGGAAAGGAAACATGGTTCTCTTTCTTGTACTTTGAACCTACGGCTGACTACTTCCCTTGAATGCTGTAGGGCAATTTTGCAACAATAGGATTTACACCTCAGCCAGTGTCTAGATAGCTAAGGCCTGGTAGGTGAGGATCTGTCTTAGCAAGCTGTAGTTCAAGCAAAAGATCACTCAGTTCTTGAAACCTTTGGTTATCCCTACCAGAGATCTTAGGGAAGTTGTGTAGCCTTTTGAACAGAGCATCTTCTATAGCTTCTGGACTGCTGTAGCTTTGCTCCAGTTGCTCCCATGTGGCATGAAGACCTGCAGCTGGGTTGCCAGCATAAACATAAAGTCTTATAACACGCTCTAAGGATTGAGGACCGAGCCACTTTATCAACATGTCAAATTCTTCACCAGGTGGGATACCCAGGTCACTGATGGCAGCTTTAAAGGTAGACTTCCACCCTCTGTAGTTCTCAGGCCGATCGTCAAACTTTGTGAGCCCAGTGCTAATAAGTTGGTGGTGTACCATGTATCTGGCAAAATCTGACATGTCAGAGTTGGGTGGCTTAGGATAGTATGATGTAGCAAAGGCATTTAAACCAGAAATAGGTTTGTAGTCTGTTGCTATGGCAGGTTTTGTCTTTGGAGGAATGTAGCTAGCAGGAGGAAGATCACTAACCTGAAGCAGTGGTGATGGTTTAGCTTGAGCGATGACGTCAAAGTTGATGGTTTGTCTTTCTGTGGCTTTCAGCTCAGATGGTCTGGAATAGCGTAAAGGATCTGCTTGATAGGTAGAGATCGAAACAGGTTCATCACATACATTTGTAATCACAGTAGTTTTAAGAGGCTGACGCTCTGAAGGAATGTCCGTGTGGTCAGTAGCATCACAGTTAACTGAGGATCTGTTGTTCTGGCTTATGACATTGTCCTTAGTGCGCTCTATGCGACTTTCTGTATTTGCAATGCTGACATTGTCTAGTTCACTCTCAGCAACAGCTTGTTCATAAACTCTTAGCTTAGCCATGGATACCGTTCCATCCCTTTCTTTATGAAGGACTTCAATCTCTGCTTCAGCCTTTGCTTGCATTACCTGTGCCTCAGCTTGTGGCTCGGCGACTTGTACCTTAATAGCTTCTTCCTTTTTCACGCAAGAAGCCTCTGCTTTTGCTGCCTCTGCCTGAGCACGAGCCCTTGTCAGACATTTGCTAAGAGTAGAATGCCTTGAATATGATGATCTTGAAGATCTTTTAGAATGTCTGGAGGATGTAGTGCGGAGAGATGCAGTTTCGTGCAATTGCGATATTTTGTCATTTATGCGTACTCTGACTTCTAGAAAGGTGTTGTGCTTTTCCTTGTTAAGAGTAGTAACATGTTCTAGTTCTTGCACAGACTCCTCTGTGTTAATGCTTGATAGCAGAGTGGAATACTTTTCAGAATATCTCTGATAGTTTTCATAAACTTTCTTTTAGCTTTACAAGCATGCTATTCAATTGCTCTATGTCACATGTGTCATCAGCGGCATTTATGCATTGTACAGTATTATTCCACATATCAGACAGATTATCAGACATTTCTGCTTTGTTTGCTTCATAATGCTCTATTCTGACTCCGATTGTTGTGATAGCGAATAGCTTCTTCTGGATGATCCAGCAGGAACTCAGGACCTGTTAACCAAGAAGAAATTGCGAAGACACTGGCAGACACTGGCCTGGTGGCTTGATCTGCCGGATTAACTTCTGATTGAACATAATAGCATTGTTCAGACTTGGAAGCTAACTTAGCTTTGCCAAACAGAAACCCTATGTGGGTGTGATTAGAAGAGTCTCTCACCTTTAGGTAGACAACAGCTGCTATGGTCTCAGTAGATGCACCTGAGGAGATATGACACTCTTTCCTCTGACTTGCTTCTGACTCTTATTGTTGTGATAGCGATGTATCCCTTGTGAGACCTCTATGCCTGGCCTGTATAAGTAGATTCAATCACTGAGGACATTCATTGTCAGATAGCTGAACTCACCAATACCGTTTCATCCACAAAGATTGCTTTATTCTGCACATCAGACAACAGGATACAGCAGATGGATGGTTTTCAGTATTATGCGGTCAAAAGATGATGCCTTTCCTACGGTACTATGCAGAGTACATGTGTCCTGATT